GTTATATTTGAATGTTTTAAGTGACTTTTTGTTGTTTTGTTTATGTTTTAAAAATGACTTTTAGATGTCTGTTAACAGTGAAACTGGTATGGTGTTAAACCTTCAAATGTATTGTGGTAAATGTGGGGGAGAGAAGAAAACCAAGGTTTCAGAGTAACCCGTGACATGGTACTCCCCATGTTGTGTCGCGGCTTCAAGACGACCGTGGTGTGCGACAAGTTTTTCTGTACGTTGAAGTTGTCGCACTACCTTGCTGCCTTTGGTTGTCAACTTCTGGGCACCACGAGGGTGAACATTAAAGAAATGTTTGCTGAAGCAAAGGATGTAAAGAATAGAAGCAGCGACACCACCATTTCTTCTCGAAGAACAAGAGCAAACTTGTTTCCTACTACAACGAGAAGAAAAAGTTGGTGTTGCTGCTTACCACCTGCCACGACAAGGATGATGTTGTCGCAGTGGAGACCACCGTCTATAGTGGGGCAAGCAACAAGTTGTCCACAAGCCCCAGCCCATCATTGATTACAACCACAAGATGGGTGGGGTTGATACCGCCGATCAGATAATCAGGTATTACAGCTGCAGACGCAAGACCTACAGATGGAACATTCGGGTCTTGTACGACATGATCGATACTGCAGCTTTCAATGGGTACAATACCTACTCAGCATTCAATAAAGGTGATCGTATGGAATACCCGAATAAGCTTTCAGGGGCTTTGATGGCTTATAATTGATTTTATTTTCGTGGTTTGGTTGTTTTTATGTTTTATTGAATCTGAACTGTTTGTTTCATTCAAACTGAGCTGTTTGAACGAACACCAACATTTTTTAGCGACAAAAAAATTAAATTAGGGGTTATTATACCATTTTTTGCAAAATAAACTTTTATCTTTACTATAAACATGATATCTGTTGTTAACAGTGTGTTCAACCACAACAAGTGAGTGCATGGGACTTGTTAATACGAGTATTCTTTTTTCAACACGCTGTTTGCATGGGCTTGTTTTCAAAATGATGATTTTAATATTTTAACTTTATTTTATTATAAGCTGTTCTACCTAATTATAATTTAACCATTTTATTGTAGTAAATTATAGTTTGTTTTTTCATATACTTTTTATTGCAGTTTTTTAACTACTTGTCTAAGCAAACAAAAAAATAAATATTGGACAAAAAATGACTAAAAATCGGGAAAAATATCAAATCATCAACAAAAAGTGGTAGTCTGCACACTTTTTCTGACATGTGTAATGGTTTCCATACTTGAGTCGAGTCGAAGTAACCGTTTCCAAGCCTAGGAAAAACAATTTGAGATTAAGTTGTCTTTCTTCTGTTGCTTGGACAGCAGCACCAAAAGCAACAGCTTCGTCTGGGTTCATGCTCTTGTTTGGCTCCTTTCCCATTGAAGTGTTTACAGCAATTGACGACATTTGGTATCCTCAATGATAAACCAATCAGCACAACATCGTCAATGCTTCCCTTGTCCAACCTGGCGTCTTTCAACGTTTTATCGACAAGCTGGATTGTCGACTTAAAGAGGTCGATGTTCAACTCTTCAAAATTTTTGATGCACCCGTTTGTTAAGAATATTTTTGTGGAAAATTGAGTTTGATTGAACTCTTTCTAAAATATAAAAACTGTTACAAACTATTGTTTACTATAATTTTCATTTTCTATTAACAAATAAACTATTTTTTTATAGTAAATTACTATGTGCTGTGGTTCTTATTATTTCTACTTGGAGTTTTTGGAAAGAAGTTTGGTCTTTTGTATTTTTGTGTTTACTTTAAAAATCCCTTTATTTTTTTTAACATGTTTCTTGTATGCTGCTCAAAAATGCATCCCAACGAAACAGACGCGCATGCCATGCAGATCTAACTTTTTTGTACCAAATAGAATAATGATTATTCGAAATTATTCCAAAAAGTAAATTTTGGCCTTTGTTTTTGGTTGGCAATGATAAAAAACTAAAAGAACAAACAATGAATTCATATCTTTGATCCTCGTAAGTGACACGAACCAAAATTCATACACCAAGGTCAAAACCTTGTGTGACAAAC